GACTCACTGGGCTGCTCACTGAAGGGTCAGCAATCTGAACCCACCTGTCACTCTTTGGGAGAAAGATGAAAGTGCCGGCCTCTGTGTTAGCCACTTTGCCAGGTGCAAAGACGGCAGGATGTTTAAGAAGGGGGCTTTGATCTCAAGCAGCAGGATGACAGCCATACTCCAGGTGGTGATGCCTGGATTCCAGAAATGGCTAGGGAGACAAAGAAGAGGAACAGATTCAAGAAGGAAGTGGCGTGTCCGGTGGGGAGGGATCCATGATGAACAAGAAGCAAGAATGATACAGGTCGGCAGTTCAAACCCACCAGCTGCTCCTCAGAAACCCTATATAGGGTCACTATGAGTTGGAACTCAATCCATGTTACTTAACAACAACAATAACCCAAATGCTGAGGAGGATTGTCACCGTGTTACGATGGCTCACTGAATCCTCATGCTAAACGTTGCTCACACTGTCTCTGGTCTTTGCATTGACTCCTCAGGGGAGGTGTCCTTATTCCCATTTTGCAGATGAAGAGATCAATGCAGTGAGGTCATGTACCTTGTCCAAGGTCACACAGCTAGTATGTGCCAAGGAGAGGAAACCCAGTAATCAGTCAGCTTGTGATTTTAACAAGACCGGAATCTTATCTGGGAGAAAGGAAACACCAGGGGGGAAACTCTAGGATGATGGGAAGGAGGACAAGAAAGCATCTGAGCTCATTGTGCCCACAGCCTGCCTAGTTCTCCCAGCACAAGACCCTCCCACCTTCTGGAATCCACCTGATGACCCTTTATCTCCACTTAGACTCAGAATTCCTCAGACACAGCTGGTAATGTTTATTACTGGGCACTTGCGTTATACGATGCACTCCGGTAAGTGCAGACTCCCTTCCTTGGGTGATTCCCTGCCCAGACCTCCCCTTTGTGGATCCAGTAGGTTGGAAAATGCCGCCCAGCCCTCTGTCTGCCCACCTTGAGGAAACATAAGCCGCGTGAGCGGTGAGGGCAGCTAGACAGGAGCTACGAGTCCCCAGGCATGGCGGTTATGCTATAACCCCCAAGAAGAGGTTATGTTGTGAAAAAACCTCTAACCTTAATATATTTATCTGATTGTATGTGTAATGTGTGTGCATTGTGTGAAATAAATAAACATTCAAGAGAAATAAAAAACATTCATCATCCTAACAACAAGATGGATTATAACCAGATGCAAGTCTTTTATTTGGATCTGATAACAGCACCATGGATTGTGGAGCACCTGTGTGATGCATGTGTGTGCATGTATGTATATGTGCAGGTGTGTGTTGTGTGCATGTATATATTCAAGCCTGTGTGCACACATGTGTATGTGATGCCACATGTGTGTGCACTTGTGGTACGCTTGTGTGTGCATGTATGTACGTACATGTGGTGTGCCTCTCTCTCTCTCTGTGTATATACTCCTGTCATATGTTGACTGCAATTCCACAGATCTCAGGAAAAATGCAGGGTTTGTGGTTTGTATAAAGATTAAGCAAAGCCAACAAAGAGCTTTTGTTTGTATGCGACTCATGTGAGAATAAATTCTGTACCTGCTCGTGTAGGGAGGAAGTACTTCAAGTGCTGTGATTGGCCAGCGTGCAGACTGGGCCCCACTGTCTCATCCTGTTTCCTTGGTACTGCTTTTTAACACATTTTTCATATTACATGCCCCATCTCATATCACATGAACCCAAAGAAAAATGTCATTAGCCATTCTGTTCAACAGACAGTAGGCAGAGCGTGGTAGGAAATTACAATCACGCCAGTCAGCAACAAAGCCCCCTGCTGCAAGCAGGGAGGGACGCCCCGGTGGCAGCTGGTCCGACCCCTCTGCACCATCCAGACGTGCGATTGGATCCCGTTTGGGTGAAGCCCTCTGCATACACGAGGGGGCCTTCTGGAAACCGGTGTGTAAATCAAATGCTATGTGGCATCCCATTGTTACATGAAGGAAGCCTCAAGCTTGATATCCAAACAGCAAAAAAAAAAAAAAAAATGAAGCACTGTTACTTCTCCTCTGATATAAATCTGAAAAATGACTTTGTCTATGGGGTTTTATTAATGTAAAGTTCTCTTGCACCACCAAGCTTATTAAAATAATGGGAGAAATTCCGCCAGGAAAATCAGTGATAGATACCGCTGAATCCTCCAAACATTAAAGGTGTCTGAGGTGTCTTGGCAGTCAGGGCTCTGCGGCCATTCTATGTGGCCTATGTACATGGACGTCTGTACTTGATGAACCATAAAACCGAGGGGATTTAGAGGAGGCTGTGGTCATGGAGCGTCGACGCAGGGCTGCTGAGGACAATGCCGGAGAGCTGGGCTCCTTCCTTTCCAACCAGACTTCCAGAGAGGGCAGGGAGATGAGGGGCACTGCATTTGGGCATCAGCACACCATTTGACAAAGTCTTTTCCACTGACTTATGAATAAGAAGGTGGCTGGCTGAGTATTTACTTAGGTCATGCATGGTGGGCTAAAGGGTCAGAAACTTTGGTGTTGGATGATTGTGAGGCCACCTCAGTAGGTGTCTAATGGAGGGCCACAGGCTCTGCACTTAGGTAGGTAGGTAGGTAGGTAGGTAGGTAGGTAGGTAGGTAGGTAGGTAGGTAGGTAGGTGGGTAGGTAGTTAAGTGGGGAGATAAATACCAGTTATTATTGAGTGGATTCCTAATCAGGGCTGCCCCATGTGTGTCAAGAGTAGAACTATGTGGCATAGGATTTTTGAAAAAATGTTTTATTGTGAATTATGTGAAAGTTTACATGGGGGAACATTGGTTTTACATTCATCCTGTTGTACATCGTTTCATTGCCATAGTTACAATCCCCTCCATGCATTATCAACCAACCAAAGGGTACATCCTACAAGCCTGCCCTCCAGTCCTCAGCACACAGCCCCTCTCCCTCTCTGGGTCTAAAGTCCCCAGCTGCTCCATCTTTCCACATCATGGTCTCTGCCTCCATCTCAGGCATCACTGCTTCTCTGGGTAGGGTCCCGCTCTCTGCTCTTCTCCCTGGATGGTCCCAGGGACCTCCGCACCTAGACTGCAAAGTTACTCACTCCCCTCCTTGCTATAAAACGTCTACCTTTACATTTCCGACCCTCACAAGCAGTCCTGATAATGCATAGGATTTTTAATGGCTGTTTTTCCAGGAGATCACCAGGTGATCTTCCGAGGTGCCTCTAGGTGATCTCCTGGAAGAACAACCAAGTGTTCAATTAGCTGAGAGCATTAAGTGCTGGCACCTACCAGATATTCCCTTTGGATGCTAAGATTAGATATTCTAGTGAAAAAGGTCAAGTATGACTGGAACCAAGCCAACCTGGATCTTGGCTAATTGCAGAGCTGGTACTGATAATCCCTGGGTTATGAACGTGTTCTGTTCCCAAGTCTAGCTTTCAGTAGAATTTGGACGTATGTCAGAACAGTTAGGTACATATGGTTAATCCGTTAGCCAAATGTTTGTCTTAACATATGGTGTACCTTTCTATGCATAAAACACATGAAATAAATACTTCCAGGTACACTGAAACTAGAAAGACTTCCTACTGCTCGGATCCACCATCAACGCTTATGGAAGCAGCAGTCACTAATCGAATGATGTGTTGCATTAGGCAGATCTGCTGCACAAGACTTCTTTAAAGTGTGCAAGAGCAAAGATGATGTCAGTTTGAGGACTAAACGGTGCCTGACCAAAGCCATGGTATTTTCAATCGCCTCATATGCTTGTGAAAACGGAACAGTGAATAAGGATTGATGCATTTGTATTGTGGTGTTGGAGAAGAATTTTAAAGGTACCATGGACTGCAAGCAAATCTGTGCCGGAAGATGTCTAACCAGGAGACTCTCTAGAAGCCAAGATGGCCAGACTTCATCTCTGATACTTCAGACATATTATCAGGAGGGATTAGTCCCTGCAGAATGACATCATACTTGGTAAAGTGGAGGGAGACCCCCAACGACATGGATTGGCCCAGTGGCTGCAGTGATGGCCTCAGGCATAGCAGCTGCATAAGGACGGTGCAGGAGCGGGCAGTGTCTTGTTCTTTTGTACGTTGGGAGCTGACTCAACACTTAACAACAACACAGAAACAGCTTTAACATAATACAGTACAATCGTAGTGTTTTGATGTGCATTGCAAAGTAGCATCTATGTAATTACAAACCATTGCATATATCCCACATCTTTAATAGAATCGGCTTAATAACAGTTGGCTTGTAATTATGGGTTATACATAAGCCGTATGTTGGTAAACCGGGTCTGCCTATACATGTGGAGTGCAACCTGCTTATTCTCTAAGACTTTCCATGTACCATAACATTGGGTACCGACTCTCAATTTTGTCTAAGTACGTAATGATCATTTTCATGATGGTGGTGGAGGTGGTGTTCCATGGAGTCGGTTTCCAGTCACATAGGGTTTCTGAGACTGTCAATCTTGACTTGAACAGAAAGCCTCATCTTTCTCCGGTAGAACTGCTGACCTTGAGATTAGCAGCCCGACTTGTAACCCACTATGCTACCAGAGTTCCTTCATTTCATGATACTTTTACATTATTAACTGTTCACTTTTCTTTTTTGTCTACAAAATAATGTCCTTGGTGTTGGCTTTTGTTATTTACTGCTGAGTCAGTTCAGACTCCTAGCTACCCTGTGTAGGGTTCTGAAAGTGTACATGTTCCTGAGAACAGAAAGCCTTTTCTGTTTCCTGAGGAGTGACTGGTGGATTTGAACCACCAACCCTGCTTTTAACAGCCCAGCACATAGCCCACTATGCTACCAGGGTTAGCTAAGCTAGGTTAAAGGTTTGCAGCTATTGCCTTTTAAGATCCTTGTGGATTTTAGCTCTTCTCTTTCCATCTTACCTGTTTGAAAGGTGCCTTAAAATGAAGTCTGCATTCTGGGAAGCACCATGTCACCCTAACTCTGCAGTTCACTTAGGTGTGCTCCCCACAAGATGTCCTAACTACACCTGTGTTGTCTGTCCTCAGATGATTCCTCTCATCAATCAAGCCTGTGACCTTCTCCTGACTCATTTAAAATGCTATGCAGACGCCGGAGCCGCTTTTGACATTCAGAGGTGAGGGCACCTGCAAAAAAGGGCATGGAGCCAGTATCTGAGCTCCTCGGACTACCCAAGGAAGATGGAGGATCAAACTCTGTATCAGCCCAAGGCCAATTCCTATGAAGCGGAGGTCAGATGTGCCTCCATCCTCCAACCTTCCTTACCTAGTCTGACACCTGCGGCCTTCTGCTCTTCTGCTGGGCTCAATAATCTGCTGCAATGGCCACATAGGACTCCCAGTCATGGGACTTCCTAGGGAACTGAATAGGGTACAACTTAGGACCAGGAGACAGCAGTTCTCTGACCAGAGTGCCTCTCTCATTGTCACCCTCTCAGTCATGGGACCCCTTGGCCTTCTGCCCTGCTCGGGCAAGTCTTATAAAGCTTCCTTAGTCCCGTGGATAAACGCCCATAGGGTACTCCGTTCTGCAAGCAAGCCTCCTGCCCAAAGGCACTCAGCGACACTCAGTCTGTGGGCCTGGAGGCACATCGTTCAGGCTCTCTCTCCCTCTACTTCTGCTGCCACCTCTGCCACCACCCCTTCTCCATGGAGGGAGGGATCTCAGGGTCCAAAGGCAGTGTGTGTCCCTTCTGTGAACTTTAGAATGGAGCAGCACGGAACTGTTAACCATAAGGTTGGTGGTTCACACCCACCAGCTGGTTTTGCATCAGTATGGGTTGGGAACAACTTGACAACAACATGATCACACCAGGCTGGCCGCCTGCCCATGTCTCTCACCCCCCGTCCCTCTTAGCAATTAGATTAGGGGGGATGTCCGTAAAAGACCTGCAAATCATTTGGCCTGGCCTTGCCAAAGCAACCGCAGTCCCAGTCATTACATTGTTGTTGTTGTTAAGTGTTGTCAGTTCCAACTCCTAGCAACCCTGTCTAAGGTTTCTGAGGAGCAGCTGGTGGGTTTGAACCGCTGACCTTGCAGTCCAGAGGATTACCCTGCCGCTCTACACCAGGACTCCAACCATCACATTGGTGCTGTTGTTGTGAAGCTCCGTAGAGTTGGGTTCCAACCCATAGCGACCCCGTATAGGGTTTCCAAGAAGCAACTGGTGAGCTTGAACTGCCATCCTTTTAGTTCAAACCGACTTTGCATCCAGTCCATTAACCCACAGAGCCACACTGATGAGTTAAATGTTTGAACAAATATAGCAGGCTAATTTTTAAGTTAATAATATTGTAAGGCCACTAATGATGTTATAAATTTTGGCAGAAAAAAGGTTCTCAACCCCTGAATTGGAGGCCTGGTGTGGTGCCATAGGATAAGCACTGGACCACAAGGTTGGTGGTTCAAACTCACCAGCTGCTCCTCAGAGACCCTAGACAGGGTTGCTATGAGTCAGAACTGATTCGACACCACTTCACAACAACAATTGACAACAACCCCTGAACTAGACTCAAAGAAGTAGCTTCCAACCGTTCACTTGGTTCAACCCCCTGCTGAGAAGTTACGTTTCCACTCCAGATAGACGGAATCAGAATCCACAGTTTAACAAGATTCCCAGGTGATTCTTATGAATACTTAAGACTGTGAGGGGGTTTCAAAACATTTTTGAAAAATTCCATTTTCTTTCAAGTCCATTTTTCCACGAACTTTTTGAAGTCCCTTGTATATGAGTGTGTGTGTGCGCGCATGTGTGTGTGTGTAGGAGTCCTTGTGTGGCACTGTAGGATAAGCACTTGACTACAAGGTCAGTTTGAATGGCAAGGTCGGTAGTTCAACGTCACCAGCCACTCCTCAGAAACCCTACACCAGGTCTCTATGAGTCGGAACCGACTCGACAACCCTTAACAACATATATACATACAACAACTATACACACACACACATATTCTGACTCATAGTGACCTGATCAGTTTAAACCATCAACCTTGTGGTTTAGCAGTCCATTGCTTACCACTGCCATCAAGTTTAGAGACTCTTTATAGGGTTTCCAAGGCTACAAATCTTTATGGGAGCAGAAAGTCTCATCTCTCTGCCACATGTTTGTATATGTGTATATATATGCATATTGTTTTTGCTAAGCACCTTCGAGTCAGTTCCAACTCATAGCAACCCTGTATAGGGTTTATGAAGGGGCTCTTGTAGCGTAGTGGTTATGAGTCAGGCTGCTAACCGCAAGGTCAGCAGTTCAAAACTACCAGCTGTTCCGCCGGAGGAAGATGAGGCTTTCAGCTCCCGTAAAGATTTATAGCCTTGGAAACCCTGTACAGGGTCTCAATGAGTCGGAACCGACTCCACAGCACATAACCACCATCACCACCACCATAGGGTTATGAAGAGTAGCTGGTGAGTTTGAACGGCTGACTTTGCGGTCGAGTGCTTTTCCTACAGCATCACACCAGGACGGGCTGCCAGGAGAATGAACAACTCTGCTGTACAAAGTATAGCCAGAATGTTCCTTAGAAGTGAGTCTGGTGAGACTTCATCTCACATCTCTGAACATATCATTAGGAGGGACCAGTCCCTGGAGAAAGACACCATGCTTGGTAAAGTAGAGGCTCGGGGACAGAGAGGAAGACCCCAGTGAGACGGATTGGTACAGTGGGTTCACACATGACATTTGTGAGGAGGACGCAGAGCCAGGCAGCATTTATTCTGTTGTGTGTGTAGTTGCATTGGGACTGATGTTATGGCACCTAACAATCGGTGACCGTGGTGGTGTGCCGTAGACTCAGTTCCGACTCATAGGGTTTCCGAGGCTGTAAATCTTTATGGGAGCAAAAAGCCTCATCTTTCTCCTGCAGAACTTCTGGTAGTTTCAAACTGCTGACTGTGAGATTAGCAGCCCAGCTCGTAACCACTACGCTACCAGAGCTCCTTACAATCAATGTTGTTGTTGTCGTCTGCTGTCGAGTCGATTCCAACCCATAGCGACCCTGTATAGTGTTTTCAAGGAACAGCTGGAAAGCTTGAACCACCAAACTTGCAGTTCAAACGACTTTGCAGTCTGACTCATTAGCCCACAGCACCACACCAATAGCAATATGTAATCCCCAGAGCAGCTACAAGAATCACCTGGGAATCTTGTTAAGACTGAAGAGTCTGATTTACTCCATCTGGGGTGAAAGGGCATATTCCCAACAGGGGGTCGAAATGGAATGTATCTCAAAGCCCTGTCTTATCACTCCTCTTGGATTATTTAACACGATTTTCACTATTAAGATTTTATTGCAACAGCAAGCATTCGGGTTTCTGCTCAAGAGAAGTCCATTGTTAGGTACAAGTCATAGGTAACCAGCAATTGAATCCACTTGGCCTTGGATCATAAGGTTTCACAACCTCCAACGCCCATTTCCAAGGGAGGGGCCAAACTCAATTTTCTTTCTGCCCGCTTAGTCTGAGGACATCAAACCACAGCGACTGCGATTGTCCAGTGGGAAGGTGACCCTGCTTGTGTCCGCTGCTGTGACACTCACTGCCGTGCAGTGGATTCCAACTCGAGGCGGCCCTGTAGGTAGGCCAGATCTTTCTCACGAGAGCTGCTGGTGGGTTCAAACCACCGACCTTCTGTTAGCAGCTGAGCACGTAACTACTGCACCTCCTTGGCTCCTCCAGCCAGGCTGCACAAATCCCTTCAACAGCCCCCAGCTGAACTCACTCATTTCGCAGATGAGAACACTGGAATCATGGGAATGAGCTTGCTTGTCTGCCCGAGCTCCAGATAGTCAAGTCTGCCAGAAGTCAAGGAGAATGCTCCTGTCCTTGTCCACAGCTCCTCCTGCAGCGATGGCATCAGCTACTCCCCTCCACCTGCTGCCCTGGCTCCCTCTTGTCCTCTGCAGGCCGGTCCCCAGTGTAGATGATACACTATGGCCAGGCCAAGGCTGAGCCCTCAGACTTCACCTGCGCCCTCCTCCGGCAGGTGTTACTGCTGCTACACCACCGACCTGGTGGCCAGCATCGCCTTCGGCACCCAGCTGGACTCCCAGGCGGCACCCGAACACCCCTTTGTGACTCACTGCAAGCGTTTCTTCAAGTTCTCCATCCCCAAACCCATCCTGGTTCTGAGCCGTAAGTACAGCTCTACCCACCACCAGGGAAGGACATGGGGGTGTCTAAGGGTCACCCTGTGAAGCTCTGTCTTCCTGGAGCCACACACACTCAGCTTGTCCCAGCCTGTGGCCACATAAGATCAGCACAGATGGCCCTGGTTGCTTACCACCGCCAATAGCTGTGCGCTGTGCTGAGTGCTTTGCCCCACTGTCTCAGTTAGTCTTTGTACTGACCCATTTTACAGATGAGAAAACTGAGGTTTAGCAAAGCTGAGCCAAGCCCGCAACCCAAAGCTTTCTATTATCTAGTGCCATATTTCTTCTGTCTTGTAGAACCCTCCTCTACCCGCTGAAGCCCAGTGCAGAGTAAATGGGAAATCACCCAGTGAGGGGTGATGGGTGGGCCCCCTACTGCTGCAGAGATGAGTTGGTTTCTGTTGTTTTTATTTCTATAGTGAGTTCTCACCCTCTGACCAATGCCAGTGTCTTCCTGCTCTTAAGGAGACACTGGGTGTCATCATTGGTATTGGTTCTTGCCACCTTTGCTCACCGTTCTGCCACACTGGTGATGTCAGCTCATTCCTTGGTCTGTTTAATGCCTATTTCCAGGGTCTGTCCAATCAGCTCCGAGACTTCAGGAGCCACTGGGGGAGGGGAAGCAGTTCCCTTCCCGGACCCCCACCCTCTGCTCCCAGCTCCAGCTCCATCACACTTGTCCCCATTGCCCTCGAGTCTCAGCCACTCTAAGCCCCCTTCTCCCTGCAAGCCACAGTGGTTCCAGCCCAGTTCCTAGAAGCAGCTCTGGGACCCCAGGGGTCCCTAGCTATCCTCTCAACCCCTCCCTGCGTGCAGTATATGGGTCTACCATGCTAGAGAGTGGCCTAAGGCGACCCCAGCTTACTCCCTGAAAGAGTGAATCCCCTGTCCACAGGCCTGGCAGCCAGGGAAGAGGCCAGGAGAGGAGCCACCATTCTAGTCAGGGAAGCAGCTCTTGGGGACAATTCAAGTTGTGGCTCTGGGAACAATTATCCAAAGAGGAGGAGATGCAAATGATGAATGAGCTGAGAAAGTCAGCTGCAGTCGGTGCTGAGAGTTGCCACGTGGCCTGTCTCATTCTCTGGATGGAACACAAAAGCCGGTGCCAGGGCCTTGGGAAATTCTCAGTGGGGCTCAGGAGGCCAGGTCAGGGCGAGGACGCAACAGTCCACCCATTGATTGAGCACTTACTGTGTACCAGGAACAAAGGTGGGGAAGGCAGGGATGGGCGGGATGGAGTCAGACAAAGCCCTACTCACAGAGGGCTCAGCGCCCTGGTTTATCACCACCCTGTTTTCAGCACCTCTTATATTTTTTTCTCTTTCAAGTATTGTTTCCATCCATAATGATCCCGTTGGCCCGGATTTTGCCCAATAAGAACCGAGAGGAGCTGCATGGCTTCTTTCAGAAACTCATTAGGAACGCGGTTGCCTCGAGGGACCAGGGAGCAGCAGACAAGGTAAGAGCTCTCACTAGGACACACTGTGGGTGGGGCGGGACTGAATTTGACATCACCATCCCCTTTTCATCCACCCACCCCCCGCCCCGCCCACACAGCAGCACACCCTGGTCCCATCAGCAACTCACCACTGAGCACACACTCCCTCAGGAGCTGAAGGGAGGGGAGGGAGAGGGCTGCTGAACTATCTTTCTGTCCACCCGATGAAATGAAGTATGGAATTAAAGCTGTCCCCAAACCAGTGTTGCTGTTGTTGTTGAGTGCCATTGAGTCAGTTCCGACCTATAATGACCCTGTGTAGGTTTTCCAAGGAGCAGCTGATGAGCTTGAACCACTGACCTGGCAGTTCAAACAACTTTGCAGTCTGATGCATTAGTCCACAGCGCCACACCAGGACTCCCAAAACCAGTTGTTGTTGTTGTTACATGTCATGGAGTCGGTTCCGACTCATAGCGACCCTGTTCAGGGTTTCTGAGGCTGTAAATCTTTCCAGGAGTAGAAAGCCTCATCTTTCTCCTGAGGAACAACTGGTAGTTTCAAACTGCTGACCATGAGATTAGCAGTCAGCCTCGTAACCACTCTGCTACCAGAGCTCCTGGAGGAGCTAAAGATACCCACGTGTAGTTATCAGCCCTGGTGGTGCCGTGGGTTAAGTGTTGTGTTGCTAATCACAAGGTTGGCAGTTCAAACCCACCAACTGCTACACAGGAAAAAGATGAGGCCATCTGCTGTAAAGACTTACAGTTTGGGAAACTCTATGGAGCAGTTCTACTTGGTCTTAGAACTGTCCTATACAGTCACTGTGAGTCAGAATCAATTCAGTGGCAGTGTGTGTGTGTACTTTTCATAGGACTGAAAAACAGAGATGGCCCTGTAGGTAGACCAGATCTTTCTCCCGAGAGCTGCTGGTGGGTTCAAACCACCCACCTTCTGTTAGCAGCTGAGCACTTAACTACTACACCTCCTTGGCTCCTCCAGCCAAGCTGCACAAATCCCTTCAACAGCCCCCAGCTGAATTCACTCATTTCACAGATGAGAACACTGGAATCATGGGAAGGAGCTTGCTTACCTGCCCAAGCTTCGGATGGTCAAGTCTACCAGAAATCAAGGACGATGCTCCTGTCCTTGTCCACAGCTCCTCCTGCAGCGATGGCATCAGCTACTTCCCCCCAGGGAGCAGGGATGTCGGCTGGTTTAGTGGGTTACATGTTGGGTTTCAAAGACAGCAGTTCAAACCCACCAACTGCTCCGTGTTAGAAAGGTGAGGCTTTTAGCTCCCGTAAAGAGTTACAGCCTCGGAAACCCTGTGCAGGTTTGTGATGAGTCGGAACCGACTTCATGGCACAGCAGCACCACCATCAGGGCCTGAGCGCCGTACATGTCAGTCAGGCCTGCAGGCCGCTGTCCATCCAGACCTCATTCCTGCTCAGTACCGAGAGTGACATAGCTATGGGATTCACTGTGAAGATCTTCTGCCTTGCTTAGGCCCCTCACCGGAGATTGGAGTTTCCTTGCACATAGTAGGCATCAAGCAACTGGGTCATTGACTGAGCTTGGTGAAGAAGAGAGATGGAATCCCCAGGACTATGGGCTATCATTTCACCATTGTGAAATGGGTATGCAATTGTGGTTCTGAGAGGCCTTGAAACACAAAGGAAAATGACTTTGCCTTAGCTTACTTGTTCAGGATGGAGTCTCCAAAGGGTTTTCTTGAAGGCTGGGTGAGCATTAGCATGAATCGGGGGTCAGTGTGTGGCTTGGTACAGCCCCAACACCAGGTTGTTTGGAACCAGACCTAGGTTCCAAAAAGTATGTGACCATCACACCTTCGGCCCACACCACCCTTGACCATCCTTCAAGGTGAGAGATTAGCCGCTGGTCTCCCTGGCCTGGGTCAGAGGTGAGAGCCACAGAGGAGCCTCATCGGGTAGCACTGCTGCTATGGGGATTTCCTTTTAAGGGTCTGCTCAAACTGCCTCACAGCCTCAAACCCATTGGCTGTGAAATCAGTATGAAAATTCTGGAACTGTAGCTAAGAGGGACTTAGCTGAGGTGAGAGGTTATTCAAGATCCAATTACCGGACTGCCTCAGGCTTTTCCTTCCACAAATGCTGCTGTGAGCACGCTTTGTTTCCACAGAGCTGATCTAAGAAAGCTCCCCCCAGGAACCAGGGCCTCACTGCCCCATGTTACTGAGCGCCCGCACTCCAATCCAGCAGAAGCGTGTTTGCGCAGTGAAATGTCACACAGATGTGGAAAGGTAAATATTGTTCCAAACTCGAGCCCATGGGCGAATCAGACCAGCTTCTACTGAGGTGTGCATTTTCCATGGCAATCGCTCAAAGCTGGCACTGTTGTCTACCTAGGAAGAGTTCAGAGGTCATCATGGGGCAGGCACATAAAAGGAGTCTGCAGGCTCAATCAGAAGCCTGCTGGGGTCAGGACACCCTCCAAGGGCAGTAGCTTCAAAGGCTTCTGGACCCAACACTCCTGCTCCAAACAGCATGTGGCTGCAATTGGCCCATCAAGGCGGTTGGCTATACTACATCTCATCTGTGCGGTTCCTTATGAAGCCCTCAGGGTGTAGGACCAAGACCAGGACCAGAGCCAGGACCAAACCCTGTACCAGGCCCGGATCCAGATGCAAAATCAGTCCCAGGACCAGACTCACACCAGGACCAGGATCAGGTCCTGTCCCAGACACAAGATCCAGGACCAGACTCAGAACCGGGCCCTGTACTAGACCCAGAACCAGACCAAGACCCACAGCCAGGTCCAAGACTAAACTCAGGACTAGTACCAGAACCCGGACCAGACCAAGGATCAGGACCAGAATCAGAGCTAGACTCTGGACCGAGAATAGACCCAGGTCCAGAACAGGGAACAGGACCAAGACCAGGATCAGACCCAGGGCCAAATTCAAGATCAGGACAAGAACCTGGACTGCATCCAGACCCAAGACTATGTCCAGACCCAGTATCCAAGACCAGGACCAGGATTGTGTCCCCTCTGGAGATGCTGATAAACTGAAGGAGGAAAACAATCCCATGAAAAATAATTACCCACCCACTTGAGAAGGCAGAATCAAGTGCTTGCATGGTGGCATAGGCCAGTGGAAATTAACTCCAGGATTTGAACAAAGCAGTGGCCAGGTCCCGACAGCTCCTTCGGAGCATACTGGTGGTCACTCATCACATGAAGAGGCACACCAGGAACACACTCGATCTAGATGCAGGAGTGTCCACTGTCATGGTTATTGGCCAGCCACCATACAGAGAACATGTGTGTTACTGAGAAGGATGGTGGGAAATAAGGGAGCTCCACTCACTCCAAGTTGGAAGAGGACAACGGAGAAAAATTGGAAAGCAATCTGAGAAAGGGGGACGAGGAAGGACTCAGGATGCTTAGTCTGGAGGCTCTGAAAACAAGCGTCACCGAAACCAGTGTTCACCCAGTTCTGGTAACGTTCTGTGTGAGAAAAAATGACAACTATTCAGTAAATTGTCCATCAAATAACCAGGGACCAACCCATTGGGGACCTGGCAGGGAGAGAACTTTAAGTACATATCTGATCAGTAGACCGACTCATGGAGCCCCAAGGTGTGTCAGACTGAAACTGCACTCCTTAGGGCTTTCAGTGGCTGATTTTTGTATGTAGCTAGCCAGGGTCGTCTTCCAAGACACCCCTGGGTGGACTTGAACCTCCAACCTTTCAGTTATTCGCCCAGTGTCCAAACTCTCTGCCTCACCCAGGGACTCCAACCAACAATAATACACATGCATAAAGTTGAACAAACTCCACCTGGATTTTCCATATCACCATCCCACTCTCCCACCGTGGCCACTGTGAGTGGGTGTTGCTGAACATTCTCTAGACCATTTTTTGTAATTATGTCTGGTGATGACTTGTGTGCATAAGGGAAACTCTGCATTATATATAGACTGCTCTGTAGCTCAATTTTTTTACTTCAGTGGCTCAGCAGTAAAATTCTTGCCTTCCATGTTGGAGGTCCAGGCTTCATTCTTGGACATTACAAGGGGGCTTCAAAAAGTTTGTGGGGAAATCCTATTGTCTTTTCCTTCCATTTCCATGAACTTTTTGAAGCCACCTCATTCACCTCATATGTACCACCACCCGCATATTGGTGTGATGATATGAACAGGTTTCAGCAGAGTTTCCAGATTAAGACACTAAGAAGAAAGGTTTGTGATCTGCTTCCAAAAAGAAGCCAATGGAAATCCCATTTTGGTCCAATCCATCCCATTGTGCATGGGCTTGCTATGAGTCCCAGCAACAGCTAACAATCGGCTCGGTGACTTCCCAAATCAACCCCCACACAATGGACCTGTCCCTTTTCCATGGCAGACTTCTAGTGTAATGTTTGGCTTCATCATAATCGGTTTGGCTCATGCCCTGGTGGTGGGCATTCTAGTAGGCAAAAGGTCCTCACCACCTCAGATACCTGAACTCTTTGAGAACTGCACACGAATGTTCTCCGTTTGCACTCCAAGAACCTCACTCACGTGGGCAAATGTGCACTGTTGTCTTTCTCTGTAGAGACGGAAAGACTTCCTTCAGCTGGTCCTGGATGCCCGCCACTCTGTGAGCTGTGTGGATGTGAAGAGCTTTGACATGGTCAGACAGATCTTCTCAGACGACTGCCCAGAGCCTCCTCCCCAGCTCCATGCACCCCAGATGCCATCAAAGCCACTGACCATGGATGAGATTATGGGCCAGGCCTCCATCTTCCTCATCGCTGGCTATGAGATTGTCACCAACACTCTCTCTTTTGCCACCTACCTCCTGGCCACCCACCCTGACTGCCAGGAGAAACTTCTAAGCGAGGTGGACAGTTTCTACGAGAAGCACGTGAGTACAGCATGGATGGCAGTGCGCGTCGTAGTCACGGGGCCGCAGATTTGTTTGGATAGAAATGAAACTCTGTTTCAGGTCATTCCAGTGCCATTTCTTCCTCAGAAGGTTTTCCAGATCTGCATTTTGGTCACTTGTTTGTGCCACTCTGTCTTGTTTCGTTGTGTGAACAGAGGTTGTGCGTTGCCTCGGAGATTGTGGTATTGCTATATTTGTATTTAATTGATAATTGGTATATTTAATGTCTGTGTGGGGAGTGCAGTGACTCTATAGGATAAGCACAGGACTTTGAACCACAAGGTTAGTGTGGTTCAAGCCCACTAGCCACTCCATGGGAGAAAGATGATACTCTCTGCTCCCACAAAGATATAAAAGTCTTGGGAACTCTATACAGGGTTTCTATGAGTCTGAATTGACTCAATGGCACTTAACAACAACAACGTTTGTACGTTATGCCCAGGGTTTTGTGTTTGGATTTTATTTGGGTTTTGCTCTGTTTTTATATATGTGAGTAAGCAGGTTTGGCAGCACTTAGGCACTCGCCATTTGTTAAGAGAATCAAGCTTACTTTTAATAACTGCCTTGCTACAACCACATTCTAAGATAAAATAGGCCATTGTCCAATTTCTCCATTTCGTCTCTGTCTTTCTGGGTTAGTAAATAGAATGTGGGACTCCAAACAGTGGGAGAAAGACATCTAGTGCACACACCTTTACTGTCTCGGGAGTTCATGAAAGCAGCCTGACTCGAGGAAGCTGCAAAGTCCCAGGAATGAGTGGAGGCCAACAGGCAGGGGCTGGCCAGGAAGGGCTTGGTTCCGATGCACTGACAGTAGTAAAGTTAGCATGCTGGGAGAGCCAGGAAATGGAGCGTGTGTTGGACAGCAGAAGTGGGCACCTGGTAGGGCTGGGATGGGGAAAACAGGGTGAGACCAATGGAGTAAAGTTGCATGGGGCTGTTGAGGGTGTCCTGGGCATCCCTTCAAGGCGAGGCAGCATTTTGGTTGCTTTAATACAAACTTATGAGGGTGCAAAGCCGGGCTACATTGTATTACCTCATTTTTTTCGTGCAATTTTAGGTGTGTACTGCTTTGACTTATAAGTTGATAAAGAATCATAAAAAAATAATTCTGTGCTTTCAAACGAAGCCCATCAAAACAGAATCCTTTCTAGTAGTACATTCTACGAATGTCAAAAGTTTTTGAGGTGGCCTAAAACATTAGAAGAATTTTCATATATTTAGCTTAAAACTGCTTCCCAGACAATTCTACTTCTTTATTATTTGGAGAGAAAAAAAAAAAAAATTCTGACTCGCAGCAGTGACCCCATGTGTAGAACTCTGTGTTCCACGAGTTCTCAGTGGGTGATGTTTCATAAGTAGATCCCACTCATGGTGCCCCCATGTGTGTGTCAGAGTAAAACTGTGCCCCACAGGGTTCTCAGTGGCTGAGTTTTCATAAGTAGATTCCACTCATGGTGCCCCCATGTGTGTCAGAGTAGAACTGTGCCCCACAGGGTTCTCAGTGGCTGAGTTTTCATAAGTAGATTCCACTCATGGTGCCCCCGTGTGTGTCAGAGTAGAACTGTGCCCCACAGGGTTCTCAGTGGATGATGTTTCATAAGTAGATTCCAGTCACAGCGCCCCCGAGTGGTCAGAGGAGAACTGCGCCCACAGGGTTCTCAGTGG